CTGTGGGAACACTGCTGTGAGGTGGGGACACTGTCCACTGTGGGGGTACTGACCATTGCAGGGACACTGCCCTCTGTGGGGACGCTGTCCACTGCAGGGATGCTGCCCTGGGGTAGGGACACTGCACAGGGTGGGGATGCTGCCCTCTGCAAGGATACTGTCCACTGGGGACGCTGTCCACTGTGGGGACACTGACCACTGTGGGGACATTGCTCTGGGATGGGGACACTGCCCACCGTGAGGAGAACAGCGGCCCAGGGCCGTGAGGAGCAGCTTTGTTGGGCACCGCCTCGCTCGGCTGTTTCAGGCCCAGGCTGTGAGAGCCCAGCCTGCTGCACAGCCCATGGGGCTACTGGGCACTGATTCGGTGGGTGCATGAAGCTTCCCGTGTGGGCAGGGAGGGTGTGTCCGGCAGGGTGCAGTGTGGCCTTGTGCACTGGCCCTTAGGGGACCTTGCTGAGGCACCGGGGTCTGCATTTAGTCCAGTGTGGCTGCTCCTGCCCTGTCCCACACTGTCCCCAGGTGCTCCCTGGGGACTCAGGTGAGGGGTCAACCCATTCTGTCTCCGCACTCTTCAGCATGCCAGTGTCCGATGATCTGGAGCTCCGTCCTGGGTTGGGTGGACATGATTCCCCGTGTTCTGCTCCTGGCTCCCTGTGGGCGTACCTGCTGTGTGAGGCCTGGACAGCCACCAGCTGCTACAACAGACCAGGGTGCTGACCCACACTTGAAGGGTGGGGGGCCATGTCTGCCCAGTAGCTGAGGTTCAGTGGCCCCAGGACTCTAAGGTGACCTTCTGCAGCCAGAGTCCCAAAGCGTTTCATGAATGTTATTTCCTCAGCTCTGGCCCTACTGACCACTCCCAGTGTACCCCAGCTCTCAGCATCTCAAAACTGTACTTCCAGAATCTAAGGTATACCCCAAAGTATGAAGTGTACCCCAGATCTGAGCTGTACCCAAATATGAGGTGTAGTCTTCCAAGTCGGATATGCACCCCTGAACCTGAGGTACATTTCTCCAAGTCTGAAATGTATTTCCCCAAATGTGAGCTACATCCCAACCTGAGGTATATTCCCCCGAGTCTGAAGGTTCCCCAGGTTTGATACATCTTCTCAAAGTCTGAAGCTCCGAGTGTGATGTGTGCCCTCAAGTCAGGGTTGCCTCAAATCTAAGGTATATTCCCCTCAAATCTGAAAGGTATTCTTCAGGTCTGAGGTGCACCCCAAGTGTGAGGTTTATTCCCCTGAGTTTGAGGGGTACCCCAAGCCTGAGGTCCACCCTGAGTCCGAGGTGCGCCCCTCGGTCTGGCCTCTCACCCTGATGCTCCTGCCCAGCGGCTCTGGATCTTCAGTTTTCTGAAGACTCCCTGTCGCCGTCGGTAACCAAGGCTTACAGCGTGCTCGCGGCAGCTCACGGTCACCCATGCGCATGACAAGGTCCTGCCCCACCCTGCTCTGTCCTCACAGTGGCTGCGTTTGGAGATCATCCACGGCCACTGAGTCTTAAGCGTAAATGAGAGCTGAGCATGGTGAGCTATAGCAGGTGGTGTCCTCCCAGTGGGCACAGCTGGCATTCTGAAACAAGCAGGGCTTCCTTCCTCACTCCATGCATGGTCAACACAGGACTAAGTGGGATTGTGGGGACCCAGTGCCAGCATCCCGAGAAGAGCCAGCCGTGAACACGTAGACTCCTGCAGCTTGAAGAGTGTGGGACACGGTGGGTGTTGTGACCAAAGTCCTAAAACAAAGTGAGGGGAGCCTGGGCAGCCCAGCAGTGAGAAGCTGCACTGCTGCCCCTAAGATGAGCGGTGTGAATCTACCAGCTGCCCTGCAGGCAAAGGATGGGCAACTCCCATGCATTTGTTGTTGTGAGGTGCCGTTGAGTCCCATACAACCCATGGTGAGCCCGTGAACAACAGATCTGAACTCTGTCCTGTGTGTCCTCACACTGCCTGACACACGAGCCCATTGCAGCAGTCACTGTGTCAGTCTGCCTGGTTGAGGGTCTTCCTCTCCTTCGCTGACCCTCCACCCTTCCTGGCATCATGTCCTTCTCTGAGGAACAGCCTCTCCTGGGAACACGTCCAAAGGATGAGAGGTGAAGCTTTACTGTCTTTGCTTCCACTCACGCTGCACTTCCTCCAAAACATACTTGTTCTCTTGGGCGCCCATAGGATGTTCAGTGCTCTTCTCCAGCGCCGCAGCTCAAAGGCATCAATTAATTCTTCTGCCATCCTTACTCATTGTCCAGGTCTTAGATGCATAGCAAGCAAATGATCAGAAAGACAGACCACGGCCTGAATCAAACACTCCCTACTCCTCAAGCTGACATCATTGCTTCTCAATAGTTTGGAGAGGTCCCTGACTACAGACTTTCCCACGGAAA